GTTGTGGAGAAAATCTAAAATGCACACACACACACACACACACACACACACACACACACACACACACACACACACACACACACACACACACAGTTGATGGTCATGTACCCACAGTGCACTACACCATTATACAAGATACACACTTACGAGCTCTCTTCTTTGAAGGCTCCAAGTACCGCCTCAATGCCGACACCACAGATGTGATGAAAGCATTGAAACTCGGTCTGGACGAGTATATTGCTAAATTTATAGCAACCATGAGATCAGCACGCAATAATGAGTCTCTGATTGTTGACAGTCTCTCTCAGCTGCGCAGATGGCGCACATCGGTTCTTTTAAGATGCCAACGGAATATTACTGCATCACTGTACCAAGCACCTACTCAAACTGCCTCGCATGCTGCCAACACCTCTCTTCAGCAGCTACAGCAGAAATTCGCTATAGTACCTGTCGATAAAACATCACACAACATGGCAATCTGCTGCAAGCGCTGGTACGAACATAACTTATCACAAAATCTTGGCAGTTCCACCTACAATCAAGCATCGGAGATTGTGGCCAGCATCCCCGAACGCCATGCACTTTTCAATGGGGCTATCGACATACTGACACCCTGCCCTATCTCTACTTTGCACTCAAAACACACAAATCTCCACCTGCCCTTCGTCCGATTCTTGGAGTTACACAAGGAAACAACCTTTCCCGATCTGCACCTTGCAACACCTCACCGACCTTCAGTTACTGTTGCATACCGTAAAGGTGCAGACCAGAACAAGAACCGACCTCTCTTACAAAGTGCAAGATAGCGTAGCGGAAGACTTAGATACCAATGATCTGAACAATCAATGTTGCAATGCAGCCTCAAACACACATCATCATCATTCCATGGTGGGAAGGGGCCTGGCGCTCACACAGGAAGAATGCGCCAGTCCCCACCATACACAGACGAAGAAGAGGGGGGTTAGATGAAGAAGAGGGGAAGATGGGAATGTGGTCAACACCAAGTCTGCGATACAAGTCCCAAATAATCCCCGTCAAATGTCTGAATCCCAATGTCGAGTCTGGATCCAATGTCGTCAAGTCTCAGGTCACAACTCTCTCTCTCTCTCTCTCTCTCTCTCTCTCTCTCTCTCTCTCTCTCTCTCTCTCTCTCTCTTAGTCCGCAGATACTGAGAAGTCAGGTTGCGAGAGGGTGAAGAAGAGATGGTGGACTTAGAAGAGGAAGAAGAAGAATCTCTCTCTCTCTCTTTCTCTCTCTCTCTCTCTCTCTCTCTCTCTCTCTCTCTCTCTCTCTCTCTCTCTCTCTCTCTCTCTCTCTCTGTGTCCAGTACTAACTTGTGAAGCTGGCGCCTTGATGCAGATACCTCGAAGATGGAGCTGGAGCTATGGCGCCACAGGTAAGTCTCACTGACCTCCGCCAGCCATCTCTCTCCAACACCACTACTACTACTACTAGCGCCCTGCGCTGAAGACTACTCATGCAGCTACTAGCGCCCAACGCTGAAGACAACTGCTAGCGCTAAGCTACTCCTACATCGCTCCTCCAGAGTGCTGCTGCTGAATCCTGAAGACTGCCTCCGGCCTTCTACCTGGACTGCACGTGAAGTGCGTGGCCAGTCCCTATGAACTACATGCTTGCCTGTAGGGCGGGCCAGTCTTATATAGTGCTGGCCCGTCCAAGAGGCTGCTCTTGCCAATGCCCAAACGTGCTAGACCCTGAGGAAGCTTCCAGGAAGTTTCCAGGTAGCTTCTGGCTAAAGCCTGAGGAAGCTTCCGGGAAGTTTCGAGGTAGCTTCTGGCTAAAGCCTGAGGGTCTATAGGCCCTTGTTTTCCGGCTGGCAGGCTGAAACTACACGGGGCCTGTAGGCCCTGGTTTTCAGGTTGTAAGGCTGAAACAGACACGGGGCCTGTAGGCTTTGGTTTTCAGGCTGTCAGGCTGAAACAGACACGGGGCCTGTAAGCCCTTGTTTCTAGGCTTTTAGGCTGAGACTGCGGGACAGGCCCTGCAGGCCCGTGTGGCTGCGCAGCATGCCACATCCCCCCTCCTTGAAAGACCGAGCTTACTTGCGAGGGCGAAGCTGTCTGTCTGAGGGAGGGACCACAGTCCGGGTGGGAGGGGCAGGTCGTGAAGTTCCCTGAGCTAACCTTTGTCACTCGTAGTGAGCGTAGATCAGCTGTGCGGATGCTTTCAAATTTGTTCCTGAAATCCACCGAGTGTTGTCGGGATCGCATGCTTTGAATGTAACTTTGTATTGTCGAGGCTTGCTGCCGTACTTGCGATCCGTGATGACGCGGTGAACCTCCTGATGACCATCCATAGATGGAGGATCTTGTGATCTTCGGCCCGGGAAGTCGTCGCTCTTGAATGGTGTATATGTTGCCAGCTTCGAGGCGTGAAAGACTGGATGGACCGTCAGATGCGGGGGAATGTTGATCACAAATGAGGGGCCATCGGGCTCATCGCCCGCGGCTGATGTTACGGGCCATGGTCCAAACCACTTGGGAAGCAGTTTGCGTGAAACATCTCGTTCGAGTGCAAACTCTTCCGCGGAGACCCACACCAGATCACCGGCGCGGATGGGACATGGCACGCAATGCCTGTTGGCTTGCTGCTGCATGCAGACTTGAGCCTTTTGCATGTTTGCGCGGGCTTGAGCCAGCAATTCCCTGTACTTCTGAACGGAAGCGGGGGAGGAAGCAACGTCTATGTCGGCTGTTCGTGGGAGGAGAAGATCAGCGAAGATACGGCCTTTCCGGCCACCGTGGTGCAACTCGAATGGAGTTATGCTGATCGCCGGATGCAACAAAGTGTTGTAGGCGAACTCGATGTCGGGGAGGCGGTCAACCCAATCCTTCTGATCCGGATGGATGAGCGTACAAAGCATCATTTGAGCGGTTTGATGTGCCCGCTCCGTTTGCCCGTCCGTTTGTGGATGCCGAGCCGAACTTGGTTTCATCTTCGTGCCAGACTCCTGCATGAGAGAAGTCCAAAAAGCCGACATGAAGTGACTGTCGCGGTCGCTTATGATGTCTTCCGGCACGCCATCGCTGCAAATCCAGCTGGTGTGTAGGAGGTGCGCAAGTTCGGGAGTCGTGGCGTAGTTCTTGCAAGGAAGAAATCGCGCATACTTACTCAAACGGTCAACGACCGTGAGGATGCCGTCGTGCCTGAGCCGGTTGCGGGTAAACGGACCAGTGACGTCTATGGCAATGGAAAGGCCGGGTTCCTGTGGGATAGGCATGGGGCGCAACTCACCATAGGGGTTGCGGTTGCGGGGCTTGCTTCGTCGGCAAACTTCGCAAGAGTCGCAATACCGAGTGACATCGGTAATGAGGTCAGGCCATCGGAATCGTTGCCGAAGTCGTCCAATAGTGCGATTGACTCCAAAATGTCCGGCGAGTCACGAGTCATGGTACTCACCGAGAAGGGGAGTCAGAAGACGACGGTCGCGTGGGACACACAATAAGTCCTTGCCTCTCGAGCGGAGGAGCAAGTACCCGTCGACGATGCGATAATGGCTGGTCGGCGGGTGACCCGAAGATAGCTGCGCATACAACGTGGCGAAATCCGGATCGGACTCACAGCCCTGGAGAAGTGTCGCTGGAGTTCCTTGTCAAATGGGAAGGCATGATGTGTCATAGCGCAAAGATCGGGTCTTCGCAAAAGTGCATCTGCTGCGCGATTGGAGAGGCCGGGGAGATGTTTCGGTGTGAAGTCAAATTGGTTGATGAAGTACATCCATCGTCTGATCGTGCTGCGCACCGTATCCTGCGTCTTGTAGTAGGTCAATGGGTTGTTGTCCGTGACCCATGTGAACCTACAACACCCAAGGAGGAAGTGTCGCCATCGCTTGAGAGCCATCACGAACGCGAGCAGCTCCTTCCTTGCATCATCAAGTGAATTGATGGGAGGCACTTTGTGGCTGAAATACTCCACAGGGTGGCAGTCGTCGTCGTCATGTTGTTCCAGGACTGCCCCAATGCCATAGCCGGAAGCGTCGGTTGTCACTCTCATTGGCAGGGTGGGGTCATAGATGCTAAGGACGGGTGCCATGAGCATGGCCGTCTTGAGTGCTTGGAATGATCGGCGTGCGTCGTCATCGAATACGAATGACACCTTTGGCGATTGTAATCTCATCATAGGTGCGGCAATCCTTGAGTACCCGGTGATGAAGCGTTGATAGTAGCCTGCCAACCCCATGAATGAGCGAACGCCCGTGGTGTTGGTGGGCTCGGGCCATACACGGATGGCCTCGATCTTGTCTGCAAGCGGATGGATGCCTTGCGGCGTCACATAATGTCCCAAGTACTCCAGCTCTTGCCGCGCAAATTCGCATTTGTCGCGGTTGGCTTCGTACTTAGCTTGTCGTAGCCGCTCCAAAACGCTGCGCAGGTGCTCCACATGCTCGTCCAAACTCCGACTGTACACCAAGATGTCATCGAGGTAGATGAGTACGAATCTATCCAGCATGTGTCGGAACTCCGTTGTCATAGCCGCTTGGAATGTAGCCGGGGCATTCGTAAGGCCAAAAGGCATAACCAACCATTCGAAATGCCCATATCGCGTCTTAAACGCGGTCTTGTAGCGGTCCTCCTGCCGGATCTCGAGTTGGTGATATCCCGATTTGAGGTCAAGCTTGGAGAAGAACTTGGCGCCGCCCAGTCGTTCGAGGAGGTCGTCGATGCGCGGAAGAGGGCCGGCGTTCTTGATGGTTTGTGTGTTGAGCTTGCGATAATCGATGCACAACCGCAGCTCCTTCTTCTTCTTCCGGACGAAGAGAACGGGATCACTGTATGGCGAAGAGCTAGGCCGAATCCAGCTTTTCTCGAGAAGATCGTCGAGCTGTGCCCTTAGCACACTTAACTCTTCCTCGCTCATGCGGTTGATGCAACCACGTGGAGGTACGACCCCGTCCTCGAGGATGATCTCGTGGCGGATGGGCCGATCCGGTACTACTCCGTGCGGTGTTTCGAACACGTCGCCGTAGGCGTCGAGAAGCTCGGTGATGCGTGGGTCCGGTGGTGAGTTTGTCGATGGAATGTCTTGGGGCGGGAGGGCATGGAGAAAACACACCCTCATCTCCTCTATGTCATCCCGGATGATGGAAGCTCGAATACTTGCGGCGGACACCACGTGGCAGCTGATCGAAGGGTGAGGAGGAGGCACCGTGCATGGGACTAGTACTCCGTTCCGATCACGAACGTGAACGGTGCGGTGGTAGAAGTTCGCCAGGCGGTCCTCGCTTCGCAGCCATGACATGCCCAAGATCATGTCGAACTTGGTGTCCAAAATGTCGAAGGACACGGCCTCGCTTGCATGCGGGGCAAAGTACACGGGGACGACATCGATGCACCGGTCGATTGACTTGTGCATGTGACCGTCGGCCAACGTGACCTGCGTGGGCTGCGACTTCCTCCGAACGTGTGGCCCAAGGCCAAAGCGTACCATAAAGTCTTGGCTCATGTAGTTGCGAGTAGTTCCGCAATCAATCAAAGCGCTGCAGGTCGCCTCTCCGATCTGAATGCGTATGTATAACAATGGCGTGTCGATGTCGTCGTACCATTGTGTCTTGAACTCGCTGTCGATCTTCGCAATGTAGTTGTGAAGGTGGACAACCTTTACTCCGGCGTCCATCAACGGAGCTGGTACTGCAGTGTGCAAGTAATCCCGCAATTGTGTCATGAGTACGTTGCAATGCGGTTCCGGCAATCGACCGGACCGGGGAAGGGACATCCATTGGAAGTCCGCAAACGTCAACGGGTCGAGCTCTTCAAGTTTAGACCATGTTGTCGAATCCCCGGCGATAGATGGCGGTTGAGTTGCAGACTCGGTTCCCGATGGTAGTGAAACCGTGCATGCGGTGGATTGTTGCACGTGGAGTGGTTGGTCCAACGTTGAGACCAAGTGGACAGCATAATCCTCGTAAGTAAACCGAGGACTTGCGACATTCGCATCCTCCCCAGATGTGTAGGAGGCCGCTAGCAAGGCGGCCGAATCTGGCGGAGTGAGAGGTGGAGTCGCCTCACCTCCCGCGCATCAGTTTCCCGAGTTGATGCGAGGCCGAACATCCTCCTTGCCTTGATCCGGGCATTGGGAGGTCTTGTGCTTGGTGTTGTTGCACCAATAGCAGCAGCCATACCGGCCTCGCCAATTGTATTCAGCCTTGGTCAAGTGAAACTTGACCCATGGTGTTGGTTGTCCGTTTCTGGCCGGCGATGCGGTTTTCGCCTTCCCGTTTCCTCGGGACTTGTTGTTGCTTCGCGGTTGGACAGCAGCCACCTGATCTCCCTCACATGATGCTTGGGTGGCTGCCGGGTTGTCCACAATATTGTCCGGTTGGACTGCAGCGACATGCTGCGAACGCAAACCAGATTTTCCTTTCTCCACATAGGTTGGCTGCCATGCTGATTCTCGTGTGCAGCTGCCCTGTTGGTCTTGATGATCTCCCTTGCCTTGTCGATGATTTCGACGAAGGTTGTGTATTGCTCGCGATTACCAAGTGCGAGGCTCAAGGCGGCACATGACCGGTTGTAGAACTCCCGGCGCAGATGCGAAAATGGTAAGTCAAGATCGGGCGTTGCCACGATCTTTTGCCATTCTGTGAGCCAGTTGCGTGTCGATGTGTTGCTTTGAGTCATAGCGAAGAGGTGATTGATGGCGAGCGTCGGGGCATCGTCAACGATGAACCGCTTCTTCCATAGCTTTGTCAACTCTGCCCAAGAGATCTTCTCATGAAGATCGGCGACCTGGACGCCGTGAATGGATGCCAGGTGGCTGAGCCAGATCTGGCAACCTCCCTTTGAGTTTAGGAACATCGCGCCGATATACGAGTGCTCAGGCACAAAAAGAATTTGAAGTTCCGCTGTAAGCCCTCCCACGAGGGAACCGGGTCTTGATGCGTATAGTCATCGAACTTTTCGATGCGGAATGTCGGCATCTTGTAGTGCTGCGCACTTGGCTTGCCATTGCTGTTGGGCAGCTGGTGCAGTTGCTGAACCTTGGTCTTCAAGGTGTCCAGCTGCTTGCTGATGGTCGCCGGTGCAACGAAGGTGTTGATGTCGCCGAGCATTGCGACTACGTGGTCAACTCGTTCCTCCAACTGGAGGGTAGAGGGTGCACTGATGGTCTCGCCAGCATTCGGTCTTGGGGCAACTTGCTCCAAGTCCTGTGCACGGGAATTAAGTGCCCGTGTAGCATCCTCGTGCAGATCCTTGTGGTTCTGCATTGCCCGTCGGAGAATCGCCAGCTCGGACTGCAGGTGGTTACAAGTGTAGACCAACCGGGTCACGAGCTTGGCCAGGAATTCCTTATGCTGCTCTTCCGGTGTCGCGTCGTCGTGCTCCGCGGATGGTTCAAAGTGCCAGAACTTGAGCTTTTCGATGCTGGTGGCTTCATGCCGCTGTAGCAGATCCTGGGCCTCCTTGCGGCGTGCCTGGGTATCTGCTTCTGCTTCGGCCTGAAGCCGCTGCTTTTCAGCTGCTGCCGCCGCTTCAGCCTGTAGGCGGACAGCCTCGGCTGCCACCTCGCGCTGTTCCTCAGCCTCGATCAGTGCGAGCTGAGCCTGGAACCGCTGTCGGTACTCGGCAATGGACTCGTTGGCCAATTGGCCTGGCATGCCCAGAGCTGAGTCCGTCATGGTGGCGGGGCATTGCGGACGTGGCACTGTTGGCATGGTACTGCTGACGTGGCACTGTACCAAACCTGGAATGTAGGCAAAGGGGTGGGAGGGAGGGAAAACGTAGGTAGGTAACCAACCCAGCTATACTTTCCTCCCTCTCCTAATCAACAGAATAAAATAAAAAAAATAAAAGAAGAAGATCACCCCCCCCTTTTTTTTTTTTTTTTTTGTATATCTGTCGATCTGCTACGAGTGAGGTATGTCAGAAGAGTACTATGAGCGGGATCTAGGCTAGGTTCTGCAAAGTTTCTCACAAAAATGTGATCTTGAAAAAAAAAAAAAGTGAAATAGAGTAGAGATGCGATTTTCAGAAAAGAACTAAATCCAGTTTCTGAGAATATGACAACCTCTATCATTATCCTAATATGCTTAGAAAACGAAATGCTAACATCAGAAATTTTCGGCTATGTATGCGAATATCAGAAATTTCGGTTGCAAATATCAGAGAAACGAAATGCTACTTTCAGAAATTTTCAGATATTTGTCGCGTGAAAACGAAATGCTAATACCAGAAATTTCTAGGAAGATTCCCATGACCGGTCGGTCCGGACGGCCGGTCACCCGGTCATCACGACCGGACCGGTCCCATGCCCGGGTATCCCGGTCGTCAAAAAAAAGTGCCCAGAATTTTTTTATTTTTATTTTTTTTTCGCAGGGTTGTTCCGCGCTCAGTCTGTGCACCCCAAATCCGGTGTCTTTTTTTTTTTTGGTGACTTCCGGCCTGGGGGGGTTCAGGGAGGGGGGGGGGAGGAAGAAGGCGATGAAATAAGGTGGAGGAAGATGAATGAAACGATAGGGGGATGAGGGGGAGAAGAAAAAGAGGAGTGGAGGAGAAGAAGAAGAAAAAGAAGAAGAGTGGAGGAGGGGAAAGAGGAGGATCGGAGGACGAGTCTGGATCAGACTGGATGACGTTCTTTTTTTTTTTTTTTGTCCTATTGCGCGCTACCTTAGCCTACCGATGGGACGACGACGAAAAAGACGGGAGCAGGAGGAGCAGAGGAGGGGGAAGAGGAGGATCGGAGG